AACAAAAAAAAAACTGAACAGATCAATAAAAAGCCATGAGACTGAAGCGGTAATAAAGAAAAACACAGGACAAGGCCGGTTGGGTTCAGTACTACATTTCATGACATTTAACAAGGTAACACCAATGCTCTCCGAGGATTTCATAACATGCAATGGAAAGGGACCCTTCCTGACGCATTCTATGAAGCCACTATTGCCCTGCTACCAAAGCCTGCTAGGGATATCACAAGAAAGAAAACTAGGCAAATATGCTTGGTGAACACGGGTGCAAACCCTTGAAAAATATTGGTGTTACCTCTGATGAACCTGCCGAGAAGCAGGACCGGAAGTCAGTGGGGAAAGCTCAGTGGCTCTCCATACACCAAGGCAAGCCACTGAGCAGGGCGGTGAGGAGCTACAGTACCAATTCAAAACAAAGGAGATTGAAGGAGTCACTAGAAGACACAAGACGTCTCCCCATGACCACAGACTGCGGGAATTAACCTTGTCTACGTGGCTTTGCTACCGAGAGTGATTGGTCATGAATGGCCATGCTACTGATCCAGTGCAATCCCAATCAAAATACATTAATGATGTTCTTCAAAAAATCATTAAAAAATCCTAAAACATATTTGGAAACACACACACACACACACACACACACACACAAAACAAAACAAAACAAAACAAAAAAAACACACACAAAAATTGCTAAAGCAATCCTGAGCAAAAAAAGTGATCCTAGATGCCTCACAACACCTGATCAAAGTACGCCACAGGGCCTTGGTAAAGAACGAGCACGGCACTGGCACAAACACACACGTGTGGGCAATGAAATGGAAACCCCAGGAAGACCCCATAGGTCCACAGCCATCTGGTCCTAATGAAGGCATCAAAATCCCACTTTGGAGAAAAGACAGAACCTTCAACCAAGGGTGCTGGGAACGTGGACACACACCTGTGGAAGACTGGGTCACTCTCGCCCTGTACAAAAGTCAACCCAGAGCAGGTCAAAGAGCTTCATGTGAGATCTGAATCTTTGAAACCACTAGAGGAAAGCAGGCAACACTGCAAGATACCTGCAGGCGATGATCTCCTGAAAAGGACTTCATTCGCCCAGGAAACCAGAGCAGGAACTGACCAGTGGGATTCCCCCAAATTACCAAGCTGCTGCACAGCAAAGGAAGCAACCAACAGAGTGAAGAGAACGCCCGTGAAACAGGGGGTCTTCACCCGGTTTTCATCTGACAGAGGACGAGCAGCCACAGTGTATAAAGAACTCAAAGAAAAAGTAATCCAATAAATGAGGTGATTTGGACACACATTTCTCAAAGGAAGAATTGCACATGGCCAATAAATATATGAAAATATGTTCAATGCCCTTAGTTGTCAGGGAAGTGCCCATCAAAACTACCTTGAGATCACAGCTCACCCCAGTCAGAATGGCTGTTACCAAAAAAGAAAGAAAGAAAAGAGAGTGACTAATGAAAAGGAGCCCTGTACACTGTTGGTGGGATGTAAATTAGTGCAACACTACAGAAAAGAGTACAGAGGGTCCCCAAAAGACCAAACCGAGGGGCTTAGAGTGTAGCTCAGGGGTGGAGCACTTTCCTGTCATGAGTGAGGCCCTGGGTTCCATCCCCTGGGCCACACACACACACACACACACACACACACACACACACCTAAAACCAGAACTGGTGTATGGTCCAGCTGGACCACTGCTGGGGACACACCCAGAGGAGGTGAAGCCGTGAGAGCGTGTGCCAACCTCTCCTGAGGGACTGTTCACAGTGGCACACTACGGAGTCAGCCTGGGGGTCTGTCAGCGAGGGATGGGTGGGTGAGGAACTGGCATTTGTGCACACGGGGACATGCTGCAGCCAGAGGAAGGGTGGAGCCCTGTCACCAGCAGGAGAACGCAGGGAGCTACAGAGCATCATGTCAAGCATAGTGAGCGACAGAGGCAGGAATGTCACGTCCTCTCTCACACGTGGAAACCAAAGGGAGGGGCCTGGGCGCAGCCCAGGGAACACTGGGAAGAGAGGGCCTGAGGGAGAGGAGGGGGAGGGAGCAGGAAGAGTGGCTGAGATTGAAGCAGACTGGGCATGAAGAGGGCGGTCAGAGTGACACTTCAGATGGACGATTCCGACGAGTTCACAGTTCCAATGAAGAATGAATCCAGGCTGGGCATCCTGAGCCGGGCAGCAGGAAGGCCGCCTGAAGAGAAACCCGCTGGCGGGTGGCTCCCTATGGGTCCCCGGCACAGGGCGAGGGCCCCACAAGTCACTTCTTGGGTAACTGACAGAGCTCGTCCCCCGGGCCCAGTCATTCCCCACTCGACAGGAGAGGACACTGAGGCTCAGAGGCTCCCTGGGGCCTCCACCTGGAAGGAGGTGGTCAGGACGAGGACCCTCCCTGTTGACCTTCACTACCAGACTCCTTCCAACCCCCTGCCTGCCACCGCAAGCCCAGCGGGTCCTCGAGGCCCGTCCCTCCCTAACGTGGGCACCCACCCCACTCTCTCTCAGCAGGCAGACAGCACCTTGGGCTCCAGGCTGAGAGGGTCCGGCTGGTGCAGGGGATCAATGGCACCGTCCCGGGAGACTCTCGTGTGCATGTGTCTTCCGTGGGTCTGTGTCCAGGCCACCCACACGTAAGGTCTCGGCCTCAGGGCTCGTGGCCCACCCCCGCCCTTGCACAAAAGCCCAGCAGTCCTTTAAGAGAACCCTCGTGGTCTCAACCATCTCGAAGAAAAGAAAACCCTCCTGCCCACTTGCTCTCTGCTCTGGAGTCCTGACCTGTGTGTCTGCACGAGGTCCAGTGGGTGCACGCACTGCACGGCACGGCCCTGGCTGGGGCGGAGGAGCCCCACCTCTGCAGCAGCCAGACCTGGGCTTCCCCAACGGCTGCCTTCCCAGGGCTGCTTCCTGCTCTGTGAGATGGGGGACCAGCAGGTTCCTCCCAGAGGACAAGTGGTGCCAGGGAAGTGGTGCTCAGTGAAGGGATCTGGGTCACCTGCTGGTCTCCATTTCCAGCTAAGACCAGCCCCTCCCAGCTGGTAGAACTCAGCTGATGACATTCTGCAGGGGGTTGGGGGCTGGGGATCCTGTGGCAGGTACCTTCATGAGCCTAGAGGCTCAAGAGGACATCCACTCTCTCTGGGGTCTCAGGCCAAATCAGCTGGCTGGGCTGGCTCTGGGATGCAGTTGCTTGGCTACGTGGATCCAAGTTCTCTTTGGTCCATCATTGAGGATGTGAGGTCACCTCCTGTAGTCCCTTACCTGAGTGTCTTCCTCAGGCACAATCTCCCCAACGCCCCCCTGGCTGGGCTTCCCTGAGGCCCCCCTCCATGCCAAGTACTTGGCTGGACACAGGTACATCAACATAGCCCTCACCATGCCCAGGCAGGTTGGGTGCCGCCAGCACCCAGGTGAGGACAGAGCTGGGGTCAGTCCCAGGTGCTCCTTCTTACCAGGTGACAGGTCCTTGTGCCTCTTGAGGCCTCTCCAGTCTCCTCACCTGCCCATGGGGCCATTCCAGCATCTCCTTCCCATGATGTCACCAGGTATACATGTCCATAAACACCTGAATCACCTGCCAAACTCAAGGGCTGTGTCACCTGTCACTAATGCACACACTTAGGGTTGGGACAATCACAAGAGGGGAGGGATACAGAATGAAATGCCCTTGACCCCGACCTGGGTCCCACAGAGGGGTTAGAGACAGCCATGTCCCCTCTTGGCTGTTTCCAATAGGCACCATGGGAAGACGGGAGACACTGAGTTTAGACATTGTCCCCCTTCGTCATAGACCTTCCCATGACTTCCAGGAGATTGGAATCGGCCCAAGGGCCTCCCCTGGGCCTATGAGGTGGGTGCCCCACAGGGCTCCTCCTGGCACCCAAGGCCCGGGGCCCCTGCCCTGGAGGAGTATGGGACTCAGCATCAGGCATCTGCAGAACAGAACAGGACACAGTGACAGGACCCCACGTGCAGGTGGCATCAGGAGCTTGTGGCTTCTGCCGGGCCCCATCCCCTGTGCAGCCTCCCTCTCTGCCCTGCTCTCTCATCTGCTCCAGGGAATCAAGCTGAGGTATCACGGGCTGCCCAGCAGGCCCCAGGGGCCAAGGTCTCAGTGCTGCACCAACAGAAAGGCTCCAAGGCCCAGCCACACAGAATCCTGCCACTGGCACGAAGAGCTGGGAGGCGGATCCTAGCAGCCGGGCCTCAGTGGAGACCGCAGCCCCAGCCTCCAGAGAGGCCTGACCCAGCCTGGATCAGGAAGTAGTGAAACTATGACATTTCACACTGCGGCTGCAGAGGTGAGTTAGGGGATGCTGTCACACAGCCACAGATGACAAGTGTGGTCCCCAGGGCCCGGTGTGGCCTGCCCTGCCCTGCCCCTACCCCTCCTGCCCAGTCTCTCTCCAGCCACACTGACCTCCTTTCCAACCCCCTCTCTGGCCACACTCACTTCCGCCTCCCAGTGGGCGGAGTCTTCCCAGCATGCTGTTCCCAAGCTTGGGAGGGCTGGGTCCTTCCTCAGCGACCCTCTCAGCTCCCGCCTAGGACCCAGCCCTCTCTGCAGTGCCTGCCTGCATTCTCACAGCCAGGGCCTGAAAACCACTTGCTCTTTGCTCTTATGTACATTTGTGTCTGTGATGTCCACCCACACACTGGCAGGTCCTGGAGGGCAGGGCCCATGGCAGTCACTTTAAGGGTCACATCCAGGACCAACACGGTCCTTGCCTGGGGCGAGTGCTCGGGCATAGTATTTAGGGAAAAGATGAGAGGAGGTCTGAGCCCCTCCACACCCCTGAGCAGCTCACACTGTGGCAGGGATACTAGTGATGGAGGTCCCTGGGTGGAAGGCAGGGCACATAGACCATGACCCTGGGCACTCTTTCCTGGCTGCACTTTCTTCATTGGCACTCCTGCCCCCTGGTGGCCAGCGCTAGCACTGCAGCCCCAGGCAAGAAACCCAGAAAACAAAACACACACCTTTGTTTGGATGTTGTCAAGGCAGCAGCTCTCCCAGGCCCCAGGAGGCAAAGGAGCAGGACCCAAGGCTCCAAGAGGAACAGGAAGGACCTCAGCAGCCTCACTTGCTCCCCTGTGTCCCTCTGCTGGCCTGAGGTGTCACGCTCACTCAGGAGGCCTCCTCACCCAGCCAGGTCAGTAACCCTGCCCACTTCCAAAGGAGGACCCCAGGCCACCTAGGAGTGGAGGACAGAGGTGGCCAGCATATTAAGGGCTTCATTCTCAAAGCAAATCCCCAAAGAGGTCACAAAGCCCAGAAAACTCTTCTGTTCTGGGCTCAACCCATCTCATGGACCCTGGGACAATCCAGCATCTCTACTGCCTCAGATTCCCGACTGTGGGCCTAGGGGGTGCGCGTGGGCAAGGTGGGGTGCATTCTGGGGCACACACTGGCCTCTTCCCCACAGGCAGATCGGGTGACTCCATGTGGGGCAGGCAGGTCTCGAGTCCAGAGGTGATGTGCGCAGGGGGCCTGCGTCGGAACCCAATGGCACACGCAGATGACCTGCTGTTCCACATGCACACCTCCCAGTAGGACACAGGACCATTCCTTGAGGGACTGCCCCACAGCAACACTCCAGGCTGCCGGCTCTAAGGGACCATGCCCAACCTTGCATGGAGAATACATCTCTTATCCCTGCTGATGGTCCTGGCCAGCGGCCCTCCTGGGTCCAGCACTTTGGGCCCCTTCATCTCCTTATTTTACTCCCAGAATATAATCATGGGGCGTGGTTACTGACCTATTTTCAATTCAGGAAACAGGCTTTGAGAAGTCACCCATGAGCCTGCCTGTCATGGGGCTATGGAGGCCCAGCTGTGGATTGAAGCCAGGTCAGTGGAGCCCAAGGCTGAGCTCTGTAGAGGAGCTGAGGAGGTGGCTGTGGCCCAACTGTGGATGTGAGTCCATCTTGGATGGGGGCTTCCGGATGGTGCTAGGGCTGGGGGGGGGGGGCGAATCTCTGGTGCAGAAGGCTCCAATAGGCTCTGGTTATGGTTCAAGGTGGCCCAGGGAGGGTGCTGGGCCGGATCCCAGGGCTCTGAAAGCAGGCCATAATGCCCTGCTCACCTTGGGCCCAGAGCCAGGGGCGGACCGACCATGGACGGAACCTCTGAAACCACGAGCCACAATAGACTTTTCCTTCTCAACAGGCCTTTTGGTCACAGTGACACTACAGCTGATTGTGACAATGGTTCCTTTGGGGTTTATGGTACACACACCACAGCCCATCCTGAAGCAGCACTGTGCCTCTGGACAAAAGCCTACAGTGGTGACCTTGCCTTTGTCCCCTCTGGCCTTTCTCTTCTGGGTGTCACACACTCTGCATTGACTGGACTATAACCCCTTAACCTCGTCTAAGCCGTTAAAAAAGCTTAAAAGTGAGAGAAATCTTACATAATCACCACGCTCTTGCTCTTCCTGTGTCCATCCCCGTGAGCACAGTGAAGGGGCTGTTGGCTGCACTGGCTCATCACAACCCGGATGACACCTGTCCTCCAGCAGATCCCCTTCCCCTCAGCTGAAGATCAGTTCCCACAGTGGAACTTTCCAGATGACATAGTATTGACCACCTCCGCTTCCCTGAGGTCCTCCTTCTGACCAATGCACATTTCCTGGGAACATGCCTAAATTTTGTGTGAGGGTCTCCTGCCTAAGCCGAGACAGTAGAGACCAAGGTGGTCTTAGGGACCAAAACTGGGACAATGGAGTTGGATCCGTCACGGCTCAGCTGCCACGAGGACCCAGGCTGGGGCACAGTGAGGAGTGAGAGCCCCCAACAATTCTACCAGGGTGAGCCACGGTGAGCTGCAGGGGAAGAGGCGTCCCCGTGCGTAGTGTCTCCGGCATTCAGAGCTGCAGGGAACAGAGATCATGACAAGTTTGGAGTTGGCTGACCAAAGCCACCAAGTGCTAAGGAGATAGAGGGACACTCTTGTTGTCCGAGTCAAGTCAGGGTGTAAAGTCAGAGGGCTTTTACAAGGGCTGGGGGGTCTGTGTCCTCCAGACTCATTTGTTGAACCTGACCCCCTGGTGACCCCTGCAGAAGGGGTCAGGAGGGGGCAGCCCTACTGGGCATGGGGTGGAGCCCTCATGGATGGGATTGGGGCCCCCGTAAGGTGCTGAGAAGGCCAGGGCTCTTCCTTCCCTTCCTCCACATGAGGACACATGAGAAGGCGCCACCTATGAACCATAAAGCAGGTCCTCAGCAGACACGGACACTTCCAGCCTCCACAATTGCAAGAAATGAATTCCTGTTGTTTATGAGCCCCATGGTCCATGTGTATTATAGTCGCAGCCTGAGCCGACCAACACGCTCTAACGTGGCCTTCAAGCAGAGCCGCATCTCGGTCCCCAGAAGTAGTCAGAGCCGAGGACCAGGCTCAGGAGCTAATGGAAAATGGCAGAATTTCAGAGGGGGACCCATCTGTGCCTAGCGATTCCCCAGGGTCGCACACACCAAGCCAGGGCTGTGGGGCCTGGGACCAGGTCACCCAGGTCAGTGCCTTGAGAACCGTGATCCCCATCTCCCCGAGCCTCTGCTGGTGGCCACGAGCCTGCTGGACAATAGCACAGCCCCCTCACCTGAGGCCATGCAGAGGTCTCCACAAAGACCAAACCTAGTGGGACAATGCTCTTTTCCTGGTGGTCACAGGCCCAGCTATGGGCCAGCTGGTGACTGTCCCCTGGGGGACGCTGTCCTGAGAAGGAATGGGGCCTTTCCACTGAAGGTCAGTAGGGTGTGGGCGACCTGCAGGACAGGACCCAGAGCACATTTGTTCCCAAGGGGCTGGAGCAGACAGTCCCTCACCCGGCGGGTTAAGCGAGAGGCTGGATGGGGACGCCCTCTCCCTTGGCCTGGAGCCTGCCTGGTGTGACACAGGCATGGGGCCAGGAAGCTCAGACGACAGTGAGGCCCAGCAGAGCTGGAGGGGACATCAAGGAGCTCGCAGAGCGCAGCAGTCTGGCTGGCTCTGGGATCCAGGCCCCAGTCCATCCTAACGCCCTGGTCAGGTGGGCTGCAGGAGCTGCCCTCACCCAGCTGATGACACTCTCAATGACTGGCTCAGCGCTGGGCCCCAGAGCCTGGGAGGGCCCAGGAGAGGATTAGGAGAACAGGGGGCTCGCAGGACAGGGGCAGCGGTGGCCACAGGTACATGACCCACAGAGATCAGGAAGGATGGCGAGAGCCCTGGGCACCGCCCCAGGAGGGGCTTGCTTCCCCCCACACCTGAGCCCGCTCGGCCCAGAAACACCCTGGGAAGGGAGCAGCCCCCAGTGCCACAGGCAGTGACTGTCACATGAGTTGGCCCCCACGGGGACAATGGACACTCACCTGAGTCACAGGCAGTTGGGAAAGGGAAGCAGGCAGGAACCAGGGCTGTGGCTGGGAAGGTCCAACTCACACTGACCTTGGGGATGCCGCACCCCCTCATGCGCCCTGTAGGGGGCCAGGTGGAAATGCAGTGTTGGCCCAGGTCCAGCCCGGGGTCCAGCAGGGCCACGGGCCCTCATGGCAGTCCTTTCCTAGTCCCCAGTGTCTAGAGAAGGGGTGACTCCCCTGGGGTGGAGGGCACAGAGACCCCAGGCATCTCTCCCAAGCCCAGAACAGGTGTCCCTCCCCTGCCCAGTGCCTAGGGAACAGGTGGGGCTGTGTGCAAGACAGAGCCCCAGGAGCGGCTCCCAGGTGCCGCCCAGTGGGCAGAGACAGTGCCAGGGGGTTCCTACCCTGTGAGCCTATTGGGGGATAATCCCCAAGAGAGGAGAGGGCCCACAGGGAAGACTGGGGTGACAGCAGTACTGTGGCCTGACTGGGGAGGTAACACGGATTCACATGAGTTAAGATTCATGCCACAGTACCAGGGAAAAATCCACTTCACAGCTCAAATTTTTATTAAAAATGATTTCTGCAATGACATTTTATTCTTCTTGTAATCAAATTTCTGACCTTTCAACAGAGGTTTTCCCCTTAGCTTCAATGCTTTGAAAATCTTCACTCTGAAATGATGGAGCTTTTTCCTACTTTCTTCTTCTTATCTGGGGTCCTGGCACTGCCATAGTTTACTTTGGGCCTGGAGTGTGGGGAGACACACCCTGCCCCCTGTCCTGAAGGGTCAGACCTGCTCTGCCCTCCCAAGTGTCCAGCTGCCTTGGGCTCCACCTGGCACCTGCTGGGTGGGCTCCATTGCAGGACCATGCAGAGGGCCAAGGAGGGGAGGGGGAGAGGACGGCAGGTCAGAGTGGAACTCAGGTAGCTGGGTCGCTGAGCTGATGGTCAGGCGGCTGAGCCATCAAAGGCCCCTCAGAGGAAGAGGTGGGCACTGCGGGCTGGCTCTCTGGGAAGCCGGGTCCCTCGGGTCCGTGGTTACTGGGGCTGCGTTTATCATCTCCTGGCTCACTGTGCTCCCCCACCGTCTGTGGGCCCAGTGTTCCCACAGACCAGGGCCTGCACAGACCACGGGGAGGGCCAGGGCGAGGGTGCAGACCAGGGGAGGCTGTGCCTGGCTCCGTCTGCCTGAGGGGTGACGAGGGAGGTGCTGGCACCGTCCCCATCACCTGCCCCTGGGCTCAGCCTGCTTCATGTCTGGCTCCTGCAGGATCCTTGAAGCCCCCGCTGAGGCAGCAGCCCTGCCAGGGACCTGTGCACCTTCTGCAGCCCTGACACAGATGTCTCCCCAGTCCTGCCCACCCCAGTGACTTCCCCAGTGCCCCTGCCCAGGGCCCGGCACCTTCCCAAGCCACTCAGGGCCGTGGCTCATCAGGAGGACCTCAGGACAGCACCCCTTTGTGCTTGGGGTCTGACCACTGTTGGAGCCAATGTCTCCCCAGCTGCCCCCATGGCTCCCCCTCCTAGCAGGGCCCCCAGGGAGCCATCGCCAGGCCCCTAAAGACTCGACCAAGCCCAGAGTGGTGCAGAAGGTCTTTATTTAGAGACAGGAGGGATGTGGGTGGGGACAGTGGCTGCATGGGAAGGGTGGACCAGGAGGAGGGGTGGTCCAGGAGGAGGGGTGGTCCAGCAGGAGGGGTGGTCCAGGGCACAGGTCTTGTCAGTGGTGAGTGGGCTCACGGGGTGCAGACCCAGGTGGCTCTTGGGACAAGAAGAGGCGCTGAGGTGGGAGACCCTCCCATGGGAGGACCAGGGGCAGGGCTGCGGCTGAGCAGATTCCAGGTCCACCTTCCTCCTTCCGCAGGCTGTGGTGAAGACCCTGATGGACAGCCATGGGCCCAGAGGGGCTCCCAGGTTGCCATGACCATCCGGGTCATTGATGGCCAGAGTAGGGATTGGATCAGGGCCCAGGGTGTGGGAGGGCGCGGCAGCTGACCCTCACTGGTAGAGGAAAGTGTCCCCAAGTGTCCCGGATCGCCCCCAGGGCCAATATCTGAGGGCATCACCCCTGCCTGGCCAGGTGGGGTCTCCCTCTTGGGTGGATGGGAGGAGGCAGAGAAGGTGGACTGAAACTCCAGAGCCGGGGACTCTGGGGTCTCCAGCGTCCTCCCGCGGCCACTTACCCTAGTCGTGCTCGGGAACACAGGTGTCTGCAGAAACCAAGGAAAACTCAGTGGGGAGGAGGCTCCAGGATGGGCGCAGGCCCCCTCACACCCACAGCTGCAGCCCTCCATGACCAAGACCCAAGCAGGGCCCTGGTGTCCCTGATGGGCTCGGGACATGGGGAGACAGAGAGGACGCAAGGACACAGAGGGGGACATTGGGGTCACGGAAGGACAGAGAGACACAGGGTACAAAGACATGGAAGACATAGGGTGGCACAAGGAACACAGAGGGGACGTTGTCGGGGACAAAGGCAGCCGACCCCTCACCCGTCTGCTCAGGTGTGAAGATGGTCTCGGCCAACAGTCCCTTACGCTGCGAGAATTTCCTAAATTCTTCCAGGGCCTCCATGTTCTCCTCGGGGCTCCTCCCTGGAGAGAGGGGACCAGGTGAGCTGAGGGGGGCTGGCTGCACATGCTGTGGGGACAGGGCCACCTACTGGCATCCAGAGCTTTGCCCTGGAGTGAGCAGGTCTGCAGTGTCAGGCCCCTGAGTTGGAAGCACCCCATGTCACAGAGTCACAGGGCTGTCCCCTGACCCTGGAGGGTCCCTGTCCCATGAAGGTGTTTGCCAGGACCCTCCCCCTATAGGCTGACCTGTCCTGATGCCCAAACACTGGGAAGTGGCACTTGGCAGCCTGAGTGGCTGGAGCCCCCTCCTGAGTGATCAGGACTCTGAGGGCCATGTCTGTCCCTGTGCCTGACAGTCCTCCCCCAGCCGACCCCTTCCCCACTTCAGAGCTCATCTCTGCCTGGGCAGCTCACAGTGCCTGGCACACAGAGGCCAGCCCAAGGCTCTAGTGCCCGGTGCCAGGGAGTGGCTGCTGGTTCCTGGGCTTTGGGGAGTGGGGACCATGGGGCAGAAGACGGGGGTCTCCGAGGAACCCTCACCCATGAGCTTGCCCATGCGGAACTTCTTCCCTGGGTCCTGGCTTTCACAGTAGAAGATGCAGTGGTCACTCTCGGGCAGCTCTTCTATGTACACGAACTTCTTGCCGTGGTCTGTGGCTGGACGGAGAGGGCAGCTCTTCAGTGTCTTCATTGTTAAAAACAAAACCCTGGAGACCACGTTGAGGAGGAGCCTCTACTTTCCCCTGTCCCCCAGGAGCCACAGCCACCCCAGCCAGGGAAGGGGCCACCCAGCTGTCGAGTCCAGGTGCCAGAGGCTGGAGGATGTGGAGGCTGGAGCTTGGCCCTGGCCCGGGGAGTTGCCCTGCCCTGTCCAGGACTCCAGTCCTCGGTTTCCCCAAAGGTCGAGAGCTAGGACCTCTCAGAGGGAGTGACTGCCTAGTCAGTCCCTGCTGGGGACAGCGTGGGACACCTGGTGTCTGGGGTCAGAGCCACAAGGCCCTGGGAAGCAGAGGCAGCCCTGCTGGGAGGTGGACAGGACCCTCCCACCCCTAGGAGCTTCCCCTGCAGGGGGTTCCAGGCTCAGCCCCGGGGACTCACAGGCGCTGTATCTGCCAGGCTCCTGGGTTTTCTGCAGAGTAACTTTCTTCTCTAGGCACCGCCCCTGAATCCTGGAAGCAGGAGCACACGGGCAGCTGCTCTCAGGACAGGCACCTGAGCCAAGCTCAGCTCACCTGTTGGGCCAGCCCTCACATGGTGACACTGAAAATCCCACTCGACCCGCCTGAGCCTTGGGAAGCTTCCTGGACTGTGTCCCTCACAGCAGGGGATTTATTTCTGATGACACTCAAATGTGGATGGGTGATGGGAAGTGAAAGGGAATCGAGGGTCCTGCAGGGGCAGCACTCACAGGAGGGTGGTCTTGGCCTCCCAGCTCCCATCTTCCAGGGCTGTCACGGTCACGGGGAACACCTTCCCGGGCCCCTTCCAGTCTGGTACCAGGGGCATGTTGACCACAAAGGCCTTTGCGTACCAGGTCCCTGTGATCTGGAGAAGGTCAAGGCATGAGTCACCTTGGCCCCGCCCAGATTCTCCCATCACTCCCTGGCACAGGGACCTGCAGCCCAGGGGACTCCCAGAGCCCAGGCTGAGCCCCCCAAGACGGCCTCCCCCATGCCTGCTCCCTGACCTCAGTAGAGCAGGCCCCACACTCAGGTCTCCTGGACCCCAAGGAGGTGGAGGGTTCGGCCCCCAAGGATCTGTTCATTTCAGGGACTGGGCCTGGAATGGATGAGTGTCACTCCAGAGGGCCCTGTCCCTAGAGGAATTCAGGTTCCAGTGTCACTTCCACAGGACCCTGACCTGAACCTCCTCCCTGCACCAGCCCTGTCCCCAGGAAGGGCCCTGTCTAGGGACAGCAGAGGGAATACCATCTCTGACCCTCAAGGGCAGGAGTGCAGGGTCTGCTGGCCTTAAGTGACCCCTGAAGCAGGGCTCCCAGCTGCTGCCCGCTGACCAGGGCTCAGGGCATTTCTCCCACCCGCCCACTGGCCCACCCAGCCTCACATTCAGCTCCTCCCAGGGGAAGGTCAGGAGGTCCTGGGCCTGCAGGGCAGACAGCAGGCCCAGCAGCACGATGGTCAGGAACAGGGACTTCATCTCCAGGCTCTGCGCTGGGCCAAGGCGGGTCACCTGGGTGTCAGGACGAGGCTGTGCCGGCTCCTCACAGGACGCCAGCAAACTTCCAGCTGCCACCCTATATGTCCCCCACGGCCAGTGTCCTGTGTGGACTTGGCACAGGACACACCCACCGCCTGTCACTCAGGGCCACATCCCCATCATCAGGGAGGGGAATGTCGTTATTGTTGGATCCCATGAGTCACCATTTGGAGCCACCTAAAGGTGAAAGACACACAAGGCCATTCAGTGTCTGCACCACCCAGGTGCTGCTCCAGCCCAGCCAGCCTGGAGGGGACAGGCGTGGGCTGTGGCTGGGAGCCCCAGGGAGGGAGGGCCCGGCTTCCCCAGGGACTGGCTTCTCTCCTGCTGCTGAGGGGGACGGATCTCCAGGCCACAGGCTGTGCCCCAGCCCCCAGAGCCCTGCTCTCCACCCTGGAGCTGCCCTCCTTGCCCTTCCTGCCTGGGTGCCCCTCCCCAGAGCTCCCTGGAAGGGGGGACACCATCGTGTGGCCAGGAGCAGTTTAGCCATCCCCCCTCAGAGCTGCCCAGGCCTCGCTAGGGATGGAGGAGGCCTCCTGATCCACCCATTGTGTGCCAGGAGGCCAGCTCTGCTGTCTCGAGAGCACTTCTGTGTCCCTCGCCCACCTCCTCTGTGGCAGCTGACGTCCCCAGGAGAGGGGCTCGGCTCCCGCGGTTCTCTGCTTTATCAGGGCAGCTGAGGAGCTCGGCCCGTGTTAGGGGTCATGAAGACGTGTCTCCTGAGTTATTCGACCTCTGTGAGTCTCCGTGGACTCACTCTAACAAGGGGACATACAGCTGCTATTGCTCTGGTCGTCTGAGGACCCCCCTGCCCCCCTGGCACAGCTGAGGCTCCCTGGGTGTTCACCTTCCCCCTGGAGCGGGCTTCAGGGATGGAGCCCTCACAGCCTGCCGTGAGCCCTCCCTGGGGCGTCCCCTCCTCATTCCTGCAGAGCCCCCTCCCAAAGGCTTCCCCTCCTCAACAGCTCTGACCAACCACAGGTCCCCATGACAGCCTGGTTCCCTTTGGATAGATCTCCTGAGAGGCTCAGGAGGCCTGGTGCCCACCTGTGCTCAGAGTTCATGCTGAGTCCCCTGGGCCCCTGCTCTGCCCCTTCAACCTCAGCTGCCCCCAACCGGAGCTGAATCTCCCCCTTGGCCCTGCAGACCCCACAGTTCCCAGGCCTGAGCCTGAGTCCCAGGGGACCTTGGCTCTGGAGTCAGGAGCTGGGCCCACAATGGTGTCTTTGTGCCTCTCTGGCCTGGGTCTGGCTGAACAATACTAATGAGCACCCTCTGATAACCGTGGGGCTGTCCTGAAGGTGCTGGCGTGATCCAGGATTGACCCCAGCCTGGAAGGGGCTCTGAGCAGGAAGCCTGTCCTCCCCGGGGTGGGGAGGGCGGGGCCCGTGCTCTTTAGGAGCAGAGACCAGGGAGCAGCTGGAGGCTCCACGCAGGGGAGACTGGTCCGCCCGTGTTCTGGTTTGACTGTGCCCTAGCTATCTTTTGTCCCCTGTTTTGTATGAGCCACTGATGGTTGGTCTTGTGACACGGGCACAGGCCTATGTTGGGTTTAATGGAAGATCTCCAGGCGCCTCCTGCCGGCCACCCACCTTGCCCCTTGTCCCAGCAAGCTGACCTCTACAGAGCTCTCTAAATTTGCTCCTCCTAGATACTGGTTAAGCTCAGCTTCTGGTGAACACCCTCACAGGTGATAGGCCAAGGAGCAGGGATCATCAGATGGTGGACAGAAGGTAGGACAGCAGTTTAGGGTCAATGCATGCCAGACAGGAGACAAGGCAGAGGTCAAGGTCCATTGATGGTTAATACTGCTATGGGATGACATGGCAGGAGGTCAGAATTGATGGATGGATAGATGTTGTCAGGATGCAGCAGGGAAGGAGGTTGGGGTCAACCCATGATAGAAACATCAGGAAGCTACAGGGTCAGGAGACGAAGGACAGGAACCTCTACATCCATGAGGGTTTTTCCCTCTGTATTACGTCTTACAACTGCACGTGAATCCACAATTCTCTCAAAGCAAAAGGTGTCATTTAAAATCACCACGAGCATGAATATGCCTTTAAATCAGCGGTGGCCCAGGACTCAGCAACTCCACTCAGATGTGCCCTTCCAACAGGGACAGTCCCCCGTGTGCAGAGCAGATGTGACCCACAATAACTTTGCTTAACCTACATATCGTGGAAATACCTTCAATATCCCTCAGCATCACAATGGCTCAGTGGAAGTGCCTGTCTCCAGGAGATGACACATTAACCGGGCACTGCAGGAGCAGACATGGCTACCCCTGTGCAGGACTTGTGTGCACTTCCTGCAGGCCCAGGGCAGGCACCAGGGAAGAAAACGAGCCCAAGGCCCGGATCTCAGCCCCCTACCTGCTCACCTCTGCACTGACCATGACCAGCGCTGACCCAGGCAACCTGGCCAACGTGCCCCCATCCCTGGGCGGCAAAACCCCATCTCCCACCAGCTCTGACCAGCCTTGGGGAGGGATCCCCACACCCCTGTTTCTTCCTCCTCCATCTCCTGACCCCGAGCTGTTCTCATAGCTCTCCTGACACCTGCATTGTTACTTGTTCCTTGTACAACTTCCCTGCTCCGCCCACTGTGTGGCTCTGTCCCCTGGTCCAGCATCGACTCCTATAATGACCTATTATTTTAAAGGGAGGTGAGTGCTATGGGGAAAAGCAAATGGAACAAGCCGGATGGGGACAATGGGACCAGGGTGTTTGCATTGTAAATGGCAGGGTGCAGCTGGCCTCACCAGGTGACATTTGCACACAGAGCTGAGGAAGTGAGCCATGGAGGAGTCAGGCGGGAGAGGGTTCCAGGAGGGGACATGCGGTGCAGGCCAGGGAGAGGGTGCCTGGCATGTGCCAGGAGCAGCCTGGAGGGCGGAGCAGCTGGAGCAGAGGACACAGGGCTAGACCGGCTGGATCCCAGGAGAGAGGGAGGCAGGACTGCAGGGCTGGCCGTGGGCCATTGGAAGGACTTGGCTGCTACTCTGAAACGGGGGACCTTGGAGGGCTTTGGCAGAATCGGGATGTGGCTCACTCTTCTAAAGGGTCCCACTAGTGGCTGCAGTGGGGGCAGATATTTGGAGGTGTGGGGAAGCTATACAGCCTGAGAGATGAGTTGGAAGACACTGCCATAGTCCAGGCCAGAATGATGGGGCATGACATCTGTCTATGGAGCAGGGAGTGACAGTGTGTGGACATCTGGATTGACCACGAATGGTTCGAAAATAAGTCAGAACTATTGAAATGATTGATTTTAGAGGTTGGGCCCCAGGTAATGCTGGTTTTGATGCCTTATAGAGGGAATTAAATGATGTCAGCCATTGTCAAGGCCACTGTGAACCTCGAGGGAATCCTATCACCAAGCCGAGAGGGGACTCAGAGGTCAAGGCAGCTTTGCTGGGTTGATTGGAGGAGATAAAGGTGGCACCTGGGGCAGTAGCAATGACCAGAGCCTGTGAGACAATGCCCAGATGGGAAGCATCTAAGGAGGAGGGGCCCCTGAAATGTGCAGAGAGTCCTGTGAGCAGGTAGGGAAATGCCCGTCTGTGGGAGACCAACCTTGCTTGTGACTGAGTCACACTCCCTGGTTGGGTGCTTAGGGGCTCAGTCACAGAAATGTGGCAGAGCTTTCCCCACCCTTCTTGGGTTTGAGGGTCCATGTCTCGTGCATGGGCGTGTCTTCCTATAGCCCCATGGGTGGAGCTACGCTCACCTGTTCCTTTGTTATATAACCCCTTGCCCTGTTTAGGACAGAATCTTCCATGGAAGTGCCTTGTGTGTGTCCCCTTCTCTTACTGTGCCGTAGGGTGTGGCCTACCCAGGTGTCAGTCAACCTGCTGACAGTGGACATCATGAAGTTAGACTCAGCCCCCTGAACCTGACCCCTTGCCTCATTTGAATAGCTTCTCCTCAATAAAAGGGGTTAGCACGTGCGCTCTCTCTTGCTCTCTCTCTTCCTGTGGACCCTTAAGGTCAGAAGAGCCGTCACATCAACCCCAAAGAAAAAGGTATTTGTGTCTCTTGTGTGGTTATTTTGTGCAGCCCAGTCAGCCCAGTTTACCTGGAGTGACCCCTGAGCCTTTTAGTCACGAGAACAGAAACCTGACACCCATCCACACCAGAGGACAGAGTTCCACAGACCTGAGAGGTCACTTGCGTTAAGAACGCTTCCAAGAACTGAAGGGAAAACTGTTAGCTAGTAGTTGGTAATGAACAGTAGAATACAAACAAATAAATGTTCAGGGTCACAGGATTTTTTTCAAAAATTGCTTTAATGTCTAATGAATAATAATAATGATAATA